GATTTTTTTTCTTTAATGAATCACAATAATCCTTTTTCATTCTTGTAAATTATTAACCACATATCCAGGGGTAGACCTAACATTTTGGTGGCAGGTACAAAATTTTATCAAGAAAGTATTATTATTATTCTTCTTCTCCCTTAGTTTATTTTATTTTATTTTATTTTTTGTTGTGCAATTTGATAAAAAATATCAAGAGATATGACAAAGAGAGGAATTTTTTTTTTTTTAAAAAAAAGGAATGAAAATTGAAGGGAAAAAAAAATAGGGAGACAATTTCAACATATATATATATATATATATAGAAGCAAACTCATGTATTATGATTTATAATATTTTTAAAAAGCTTATTTAGGATGAGATTAATCTAAACTCACATGTTTTAGATGGATTAAGAATGAATAATTTTTTTGGATTTATTACACTTTCTACTCCTAAACTATCACTAAATTATCTATTTTCTTTTTTAGTAACTTTATGATTTTTTAGCTAAAATGTGATGTAAAAAAAATTAATATATTTGGGATGACTTTTTGATTTTTTAAGAAAAGATGTGCAAAAAGTAGTGAGAAAAAAAGAATATTTGACTTTTTGGTATAAGTTGTTGACTTTTTGATTTTTTAGTAACTTTTTGACTTTTTAACTAAAAAAGTCACTTGTCAAACGAGGCCTTAGTCACTGAACTATCGACATAGTTTGCTTAGTCCATAAAATATATAAATTAAAATCTATCGATTGAATCTATTAAGTCCTTAAAGTATTTAATTCAAACTTATTTAGTCCCTACAAGAATTATAAAAATAAAATATAAGCAATAAGTATTATAAATTAATAAAATATCCTATCAAGTTGAGATTTTATTTCAAAAAAATCTTAAATTTCAATTTTGTCTTTAAAAAGTATTTTTTTTCTTTCTGTTTTTAAATTAGTATTGGAGTTTGGTTCTCAGTCTTGCCAATAAAATTATACGGGTATTAAACATATTGATGAAATAGAACTAGATAATTTGAATAATGACACTTCGTTACAAATTATAATAGAACAAAATGATATGTTACATATGTATTTATATATATTCGTTTGGCAAGATGGTTTGTGGCTAAAATAGTCACAAAAGACAAAATATGCTATTTTAGTCACAACAAACAAAACATCACATCAAATCCATAATCATTACATTCTTCTCTTACAAAAAAAGTCAAAATGCCAAAAAGTCCTTCCCAAACCAAGCTTTTTAACCCAGGCTAAAATAGTTAAAAAAAACCAAAAAATCAAAAAATCAACCCACTTTCCAAACCAACCCTGAATGAAACATATGGAGCTTCATAAGAGCATCTCTAACGGTGCATTTCATTTTTCATCAAATCTGAGTAAAAAATGACTCATTTTACCAAATCTGATATCACTCGCTTCAACGGTAAACTTTCATCAAATTTGGGCCGGGACAACCGGTTGGTCGACCGGCTAGGCGATTTTTTTTTTTTGAACTTTTTGAACCTTTTAGTGGTCGACCGGTAAGGCAAATTTTTTTTTTTTTTTTTTTACTGTTTGAACCTTTTCTTGGAACTGTTTGAATCTTTTGGTGGTCGACCGGTTGGTCTCCCCCAACGGTCACAAACAGTGTTTTGATGAAATCAGTATTTTGTCATCAGTTTGATGAATTGTTTGGTGAAATCTCATTTTGATATCGATTTGGTACAACCATTGGAGCACCAAACAGTAACTTTTTCAGCAAATTTTAAATTTGATGTCAACTTTGATGAACCGTTGGAGATGGTCTAACTGATGGCCTATTAAGAGAATAACAATGATAGAAAGTTTTAATTTTGAAATTATAAAAAAAGCTCTAGTGATGTAATAAGAGAAAAAAAATAAAATAAAACAAAACAAAAATATAAGTACACATATCACATCACATGTGGATCTCACTCATTGTCATATCACTAAAACTCTAAAATTAAAGCTTTCAATCTTTATTCTAAAGAGAATTAAGCTTACAAAAAAAAAAAAAAAAAAAGGTAAAAAACAATTGGGTGAGTTTTCATCATCACTTGGAACATTTTACAAAGAGAATCTTCACGTTTCAATTCTTTCGTTGATAAGAATCAAATGAGATAATTAATCAGTTATTCACCAATTATGGAAAAAATGTTCAATATAATATCTCCTCTAAAATCACAATCAGCTTGTTTGGTTTTAGTTTTCAGAAAATAATTTTTAAAATTTTTTATATTTTTATTTTTCGTATTTTAATGTTTTCAAAGAATTTTTAAAAATATTTTAAGCAATTTTGTTAAAAAATTTTTTAGACACACCTAACATAAATACACTTAAAAAATATAATATTTATGATTTTTTTAATAAAAAAATACACTAAATACCAAAAAATATAAACAAAAAAAAATGAAAATTCAATATATTTTTTGTATTTTGTGTATTTATTAATTTTTTCAAATATTTTACTAATTAGATACATCTAAGTAAAGTGTACCTAAAAAAGTAAAAAAATTACTTAAAATTTAAAAAATATTCACAAAAAACAAAAAAATTAATTTTTTAAAAACTAAATTCAGAAAACTGAAACTAAACACACCAAATAGTAGTGATAAAATTTATTCAAAAACTCTTTGTGCTAAGATTTCTTTTCTTTAATGAATTCAGTTTGCTTGTTTTCTCTTTTCAAAAATCACTTTTCAGAAAATTCTACTTTCTTATTTTCTGTGTTTTTTTTTACTGAATTTTTTTAATATTTTAAGCAATTTTTTTACTTTTTAGACACATTAACATAAATACACCTAAAAAGTAAAAAAATTGTAAAAAAAAAAAATCTTTTAAAAATTCACTAAATACCAAAAATATAAAAAAATACAAGAATTCAGTACATTTTTTTTATATTTTTATGTATTTATTAATTTTTTAAAATATTTTTTCACAAATTTTTTACTTTTTAGATATATCTAACTAAGGTGCATCTAAAAAAATAAAAAAAATGTTTAAAATTTAAAAAATATTCACTAAAAATAAAAGAATACAAAAACTAAAAAACTCAATTTTCAAAAAACTTAATTCAAAAAATTCAAACCAAACAAACTGAATAATCCTTTTTTCATTCTTGTAAATTATTAACCACATATCTAGGGGTAGACCTAACATTTTGGTGTAGTAGTAGGTATAAAATTTTATCAAGAGAGTATTCTTCTTCTTCTTCTTTCTCCTATTTTAATTAATTAATTTTTTTTTTGTGCAATTTGATCAAAAATATCAAGAGATATGACAAAGAGAGGAAAAATTTTAAAAAAAGAATGAGTGATAAAAATTGAAGAAAAAAATAATAATAGAGAGACAATTTCAATATATATATATATGTAAGCAAACTCATGTATTATGATTTATAATATTTTAAAAAAGCTTATTTAGGATGAGATTAATCTAAACTCATATGTTTTAGATGGATTAAGAATGAATAATTTTTTTGGGTTAATTACACTTTCTACTCCTAAACTATCACTAAATTATCTATTTAGTTACTGAACTATCGATTTAGTTTGCTTAGTCCATGAAATATATAAAATAAAATATATTTAGTTTTTAAACTATTGATTGAATCTATTAAGTCCTTAAACTTATTTAGTCCCTAAAAGAATTATAAAAATAAAATATACGCAATAAGTATTATAAATTAGTAAAAGACTCTATCAAGTTAATATTTTATTTCAAAAAAAATCTTAAATTTCAATTTTGTCTTAAAAAAATATTTTTTTTCTCTCTATTTTTAAATTAGTATCAGAGTTTTGTTCTCAGTCTTACCAATAAAATTATATGAGTATTAAACATTCTGATGAAATAGAACTAAATAATTTGAATAATAACACTTCGCTACAAATTATAATAGAACAAAATGATATATTAATTAAGTTATAACAAGAATTTAACGAAAAATTAAAAAACAATCAATAAAAAATTATAAATGAAATTTGGTACATAATACTAGATAAAAGGCTTATATTTTAAGTAGATAGGATTTTTTTACTAATTTATAATACTTATGAGCTTATATTTTATTTTTGTAATCTTTTTAGGGATTAAATAGATTTGAAAAAAAAAATTAAGAACTTAGTCTCAATCGATAGTTCAAGAACCAAATAAACAATTTGATAATAATTTAAAGATAAAAAGTGTAATAAACACAAATTTTTTTAAGGATAAATTACACTGACATCTCTTGAGGTTTGTCCAATTACATCTCACCTCTTGACGTTTTAGAAATTATATTCTTATCCCTATAGTTAATAGTCTCATTTTACAAATCCTTTACTTACATAAAATGCAACAACTCTTGATAGAAAAATATAAGAAATTATATTGAAAAAAAAAGTAAAACAAATGACAGAGAAAAAAAAGAAAGAAAGTAAAGTAAAGTAAAAAAAAAAGAATATGCATGAGTTCAATATTTTTATTCCATTTAAATAATTATAATGAAAAAAAAATTAGTATAATTTCTTAAATGTCAAGAATATTAAACCTAAATTTCAAAATGTGAGACTGTAATTTACCCTTTTTGTTAAAATAACCTGTGCGTAGCAAGTGCCAGCATGCAACACCAAGGATCCTCTAGAGTGAAATTTTTCTAAAGTTTCCTAAAGTGCTACAGTGTATAGTTGAGATTTATTGGCAAGTCACATCAGAAAAATTGATGTGACTTGCCAGTAAATCTCAACCATACACTGTAGCACTTTAGGAAATTTTAGGAAAAAATCACTCTAGAGGATCCTTGCTCCAAATAAAATGAAAAAAAAAAAAAAGGAAAAGAAAAAGGCCAAATGATTGGACGACCATTTCTTCCCGTCAATACCGCGAATTCCCAAAGAAGCCCCATCCAACGGCCAAAAATAAATCTCACCATAGATCCTCATCCAACGGCCCAAATTAAATCCAAGTGGCTCCTCCCAAAGCCACCAGAAATTATTAAAACCCGGTCCAATCCCCCAATTTCTCTCTCTCTCTCTCTCTCTCTCTCTCTCCCTCCTGCCTTGCACTTTTTCTCTCTCTAAAACACACTCTCTCTCTCTCTCTCTCTCTGTTCTGTTTTTGTTCAGTTGGTAGCTGCTAACTTGCGCACAGACAACTGCCTATCCTGCGCAGCCTGAGATGTCGCCGGCGGTGGTTTATGTGATAAGAATATCAAAGCTACATCATGATGGCCCACTAGGGAAGATAAGATCAGACGGTCGATAGATCAAGAGTGTAGTGGGACCCACATAAATGGACGGTCAGCAGAGCACGGCGAAGCTGAAGAGGACACAGTCCTCTCTCCTCCGCTCATCTCCGACCATCAGATCCTCAATCCAAACCCTATCTTCCGTAAACGAGATCAGACAAGACGAAGAAGACGAAGAGGAACAAAAGCCCCACAAACCCGGTCCATCCCCGGTTCGCCGCCATTCTGGCCGGTTCGCCCCGTTTTTCGCCCTCCTCTCCCTCTCTCTCTGCACCCTCTTCCTCTATTTCGGCAGAGACGACATACCCACCTCGGAAAACCTCCTCTTAGCCCTGATTTTCGTCGCCATCGCTCTCTTCTTCGCTGGCAAAAACAAGGGTTTGATTCACCAAAGCTTTTTGATTCTCTCCAAGCGACTTGGGTTCTCGCAGAACAACCACAAACCGGTCCAATGGTTCATCGGCGAGTCGATTGTGTCGAAAAAAGACCGAAAATCGAAGCGAATTGTCAGAGAAGGGGTTGAATTTTACAGCAATGGTGATTTCTATGAAGGGGAGTTTCACAAAGGGAGGTGTAATGGGAGTGGAGTGTACAATTACTTTGTGAATGGGAGGTATGAGGGAGATTGGGTTGATGGGAGGTATGATGGGTATGGGATTGAGAGCTGGGCGAGAGGTAGTCGGTTTCGAGGACAGTATCGGCAAGGTCTCCGGCATGGTTATGGAGTTTATAGGTTTTATACAGGGGATGCTTATGCAGGGGAGTGGTGTAATGGGCAGAGCCATGGTGTTGGAATGCAGAGTTGCTCCGATGGAAGCAGTTATGTTGGTGAATTCAAGTGTGGAGTCAAGCACGGCCTCGGTTCTTACCATTTTAGGTGAATTCTTCAACTTCGATTCGACTCTGTTTTTTATCTGTTTCCTTACAATATATAATTTTTTGTTTGGTGATCTGTTTTCGAAAATTAAACTACCCTTTTTTCAGAAAATATTATTGGAAGTTAGTTTGTAATTTTCAAAAATTTGTGTTGACACAAAAATGAAAACGAAGAATAGACGGGAAGATATGCTATTTGGACATTGTTAATGATTAATATAACAATGGAATTTATTGTGTTATGTTTATGATTGTATGTGAATATCATTGTTTTGATCTGTAGACAGAAAAAAAAAAAAAAAAAAGTAAAGTAAAGTAAAAAAAAAAGAACATGCATAAGCTCAATATTTTTATTTCGTTTAAATAATTATAATGACAAAAAAATTAGTATAACTTCTTAAATGTCAAGAATATTAAACCTAAACCTCAAAATGTGAGACTGTAATTTACCCTTTTTGTTAAAATAACCTGTGCGTAGCAAGTGCCAGCATGAAACAAATAAAATGAAAAAAAAAAAAAAAGGAAAAGAAAAAGGCCAAATGATTGGACGACCATTTCTTCCCGTCAATACCGCGAATTCCCAAAGAAGCCCCATCCAACGGCCAAAAATAAATCTCACCATAGATCCTCATCCAACGGCCCAAATTAAATCCAAGTGGCTCCTCCCAAAGCCACCAGAAATTATTAAAACCCGGTCCAATCCCCCAATTTCTCTCTCTCTCTCTCTCTCTCTCTCTCTCCCTCCTGCCTTGCACTTTTTCTCTCTCTAAAACACACTCTCCTCCCTCTCTCTCTCTCTGTTCTGTTTTTGTTCAGTTGGTAGCTGCTAACTTGCGCACAGACAACTGCCTATCCTGCTCAGCCTGAGATGTCGCCGGCGGTGGTTTATGTGATAAGAATATCAAAGCTACATCATGATGGCCCACTAGGGAAGATAAGATCAGACGGTCGATAGATCAAGAGTGTAGTGGGACCCACATAAATGGACGGTCAGCAGAGCACGGCGAAGCTGAAGAGGACACAGTCCTCTCTCCTCCGCTCATCTCCGACCATCAGATCCTCAATCCAAACCCTATCTTCCGTAAACGAGATCAGACAAGACGAAGAAGACGAAGAGGAACAAAAGCCCCACAAACCCGGTCCATCCCCGGTTCGCCGCCATTCTGGCCGGTTCGCCCCGTTTTTCGCCCTCCTCTCCCTCTCTCTCTGCACCCTCTTCCTCTATTTCGGCAGAGACGACATACCCACCTCGGAAAACCTCCTCTTAGCCCTGATTTTCGTCGCCATCGCTCTCTTCTTCGCTGGCAAAAACAAGGGTTTGATTCACCAAAGCTATTTGTTTCTCTCCAAGCGACTTGGGTTCTCGCAGAACAACCACAAACCGGTCCAATGGTTCATCGGCGAGTCGATTGTGTCGAAAAAAGACCGAAAATCGAAGCGAATTGTCAGAGAAGGGGTTGAATTTTACAGCAATGGTGATTTCTATGAAGGGGAGTTTCACAAAGGGAGGTGTAATGGGAGTGGAGTGTACAATTACTTTGTGAATGGGAGGTATGAGGGAGATTGGGTTGATGGGAGGTATGATGGGTATGGGATTGAGAGCTGGGCGAGAGGTAGTCGGTTTCGAGGACAGTATCGGCAAGGTCTCCGGCATGGTTATGGAGTTTATAGGTTTTATACAGGGGATGCTTATGCAGGGGAGTGGTGTAATGGGCAGAGCCATGGTGTTGGAATGCAGAGTTGCTCCGATGGAAGCAGTTATGTTGGTGAATTCAAGTGTGGAGTCAAGCACGGCCTCGGTTCTTACCATTTTAGGTGAATTCTTCAACTTCGATTCGACTCTGTTTTTTATCTGTTTCCTTACAATATATAATTTTTTGTTTGGTGATCTGTTTTCGAAAATTAAACTACCCTTTTTTCAGAAAATATTATTGGAAGTTAGTTTGTAATTTTCAAAAATTTGTGTTGACACAAAAATGAAAACGAAGAATAGACGGGAAGATATGCTATTTGGACATTGTTAATGATTAATATAACAATGGAATTTATTGTGTTATGTTTATGATTGTATGTGAATATCATTGTTTTGATCTGTGTAACTTGAGAGGAATACTTTTTTTTTTGGGGAATCAGTTTCATACAAAGATGAAAGATTTCATCTTTGTTTAGTTCATGTCATTTGATGAAAGTTTCTTGATATATGATATGAGTTTTTAGTTTTTAATTTGTACCCAAGATTTCATTTTTCTTGATTTGATCTTGATGAATACAATGTAGACTTTTTAATTATAAAATATAAATTAAAAAAGAAAATGTAGAGACATCATATATAGGGAATGGAATTTTCTGTTACAAATCCGTTGTGTTCATGTATTTACTTGTCATTGTAAGGCATTTTAATAATCAATTTATATCATCAAAAATATAGTTGTAGTAGTTGGTGTTAAATTTGTTGACTTTGTTCAGTTCCTTGATGTCATCGTGTTTGGAAAATTGTAACAGAGGAGAAAATATCGATTGATTGCTTTTTTTGTTTTTCTTTAATAGTTTCTAAAGCCTATTTATTCTTCTTCATTTTCTTACTTTTCAAATTGCTTGTTATGGGTAAGATTTGAGATCTGTTCCTAAGTGAAAACATGTAATTCTGTTGAAGGAATTGAATGTTTTATATTTTTTTGACCCTATTTAGAGCAGTTTAATAATGCACTTATGTCATCCAAAATATAGTTGTAGTAGGTGCTAATTTTGTCGATTTTGACTTGCATGGTTCCCTTGATGTCATCTTGTTTGGAAAACTTAACAGAGGAGGAAATATCGACTGATTGCTCATTGTTTCTTTAATTGTTTAATTTTGTTGAGGAAAGTTAATGTTGATATGTCTTTATGATTGGTTTTGTAGAAATGGGGATAGATATGCTGGGGAATACTTTGGGGACAAAATCCACGGCTTTGGTGTTTATCACTTTGCTAATGGCCACTGTTACGAGGGGTCATGGCACGAAGGCCGTAAGCAAGGATATGGCATGTATTCATTCCGAAACAGAGATACAAGGTGTGGCGAATGGGACTGTGGCAATCTTAAGATGCCTCTACCGCCACTGACTGATGCCGTCCTTCGAGCAGTTCAGGTATTCTCCAAACATTCTCATCTGATTCATTTTCAGCAGAAAATATTTTCCGTTAAATTGACTTGTTTTCTTTTGTTTGGATTTTGCACGGAAAATTATCCATTGTTTGGTTGGGCTGGATTCGGCATAATCTGAATCTAATACAGTTATAAAAAAAGTCCAAATCTGAACTTGATCTGATTATGACAAATTCAATGAGTGATCATCTGAATATGAATCTGGTCTATTTAGGTTTCCTATTTGAAAACCTGACTCTCCATTTGTTTATTTGAATTTCACATTCTTTTTTGGAATTTTCTGGTTGTCAGCCATTACTTCTGTATTATAATATACATATAAAAACTAAAACATTAAAATCGGATTGAATCCGATCAGACAATAAATAACTAGATGAATCAGATTGGGACGGATCCAGAATTATGCGAAAGTATGTTTGGTGTGCAAACCTTTATAATTTTAAATTATTTTAAAATTTTCAATATAATATTTGATATTTTTCAAATTTTTGGAGGTGGTGTTGCCCCCATCCGCACCCCTCTAGATCCGTCCTTGATTTTATATGATTGTTGGATCAGATATTTGTTAATGAATTCTGATTTTGTGAATCAGATTCAAATTAAATCCGATCCTTGCTAAGGCCTCGTTTGGGAACAGGCTAATTTAGTAACTTTTTGGCTATTTGGCTAAAAAGATAGGTAAAAAAAACTTGTACATTTGGGATGACTTTTTGGCTAATTACGAAAAGATGTGCAAAAAGTAGAGAGAAAATAGAATCTTTGACTTTTTGGCCGTCCTTGATTTTATATGATTGTTGGATCAGATATTTGTTAATGAATTCTGATTTTGTGAATCAGATTCAAATTAAATCCGATCCTTGCGAAGTGCAAGATAAATGGTCTCATTTTTTGTGTCACAATTTGCAGGCAGCTAGAAAAACAGCTGAGAATGCAATTCACCTTCGGCGAGTGGATGAACAAGTGAATAAGGCAGTCCTGGCTGCAAACAGAGCTGCCACTGCTGCTAGAGTCGCTGCTGTCAGAGCCGTTCAAAACAGAATGGATGGCAAATTTTGTGATACTGACATCTAAATTTACTAAATTGTTACTTCGACAATGAACCAACCACCCCAGTAAGCACAAGCTCATCTGAGGTTGAAAGAGAAGAGTGTGTTCTGAGTTTGGTTGATCACACTGTAACTTTGTATATAAATCCATATGTACAGTAATGGAAGATGAGTTTTTCAGAGCTTCTTCTTCTTCTTTTTATTTTTTTTATTATTTTTTATTGTATATCTTGATCTTGATTATGTGATCGTTGTTTGGGATGGACCATGAAGCTCCATTATTGTTGTATTTTGCAAAACAATAATGAGATCATAGGTTTGATCACATAGCGTCTCTTTTACAGAATCATCATTATCCACAACACAACTGGTATGGCAAGGCCTTGTCTCCAAATGTTAGAGATTGCTACGTTCTGTTTTGATGATGTTAGTTTTCTGTTTATATTCTTAAATATTTTGAAATTGAAACTAAAAAACATTTAAACTTTATTAATTGTACAAAACATAAAAAGTGTAGGTTTTCATGTTCTGTAAATAATTTTTCATTATATTTTCCTTCCCCTCACCCACTGTTGGCCACCATTTCAAGGCTATCACCTCTTGCCTGTGATCCCATTTTCTTATTTTTAAAAGCAATAAACTTTTTAAAACATATGTTTATTGAACATATTTTTATTTTCGTTTCTATAAAATAATAATAATAATTAACAGTAAGTGTTACCCAACAATTCTTACCTTTCAAAGAAAAGAAAATTTTACTACTCTCTTTGAAAAATATGCATATTAGGTGCATCCCCCTTTTTAGTCATTAGATCTTATTGATTATACCCAACATTATGTTTTAACTAACAAGTAGGTGAGATTATAATTTAAATAGTTCTGGATCACAATTTGTGATGGCTAGATTCTAAAGTCAGGTTGAGTTTGGAATAATACTTGTATCTTTATTATGTGGTGTACGCTTAACTTAAACTGATCCGCTCTATGTCTATCCTTAAATTGTAGATATATGTAACTTTCATTCCATATATACCAAGTAAATATTCGAACTAAATTTCGGAGATGGCAGGGGAGTGGAAAATAAAACTTTTATGAGTTAAGATGCATGATTGTGTATATTCAGCACTATGTGCAGAGGTAGAAATTGTCATACAAGTTTGGAAATCACAACTTTGAACTATTTTTTGGTTAAAAGCCGATTATAAACAGTTATTTGTGAGAGAGAAGTGAGTTATAATCTGGGAAGTGGATTATAACCCACTTCCCAAAATGCCCAAAAGGCCCCTTAGTTACATGTCCGTTTAATAATATTTTATGATTTGTCGGGCTACATATTTTTTATTTTTTATATCATCTAAGCATCTAATTTGTTATTATTAATTGGATATACAACCAATGTAATATTTCCGGGACACAAGATAATTATTCAAACAAAGGAGCTTCCTTCATAAGTTGCTAACTGATCCATGTCCATCCCTATGTCCTAAGATATGTCGACATAAGTATCGTGAGAGAGACGTGAAGAATCTTGGCACCATAAAAGCTTTGCTCATTTCTTTCAAACACACCCCCAACACACAGTGGACTTAAAAGTATTTATATTTTCCAAAATATTCATCATCAACTCCTTTGAAATCTTTATATATTTGGGTTTGATTTTGTTTGGAGTTGTATGTGGCAAATAAAAAAAACAAACAAGTTGGGACATATATTAAAACAAACCAAAAAATGGAAGTTATTAGTTTAAGTAATATATTTGATTAAACTAATGAAGGAGCCATGTGCTTCCTTCTTGATTTACGATAATGTGTGGGATTGTGTCATTATGCTTGCAACAAGCACATGGTGTGGTTGTGGTTGTGGTGGGGTTCTTGGTAAAAAATCTCTAACTTTTCAAGCATGTTTGATCCACAGTCTTTGTTTCATAAATTTTTAAAGATGAAAATAAAAATCTAAAAAATAAATAATAAATATAATTTTTAAAATAGATGGTTGATTTTTTTAAAATGTAATAAACTTGTGTGACTACGAACCAGCTTGATTTTTGTATAAATAATCTCTACATAAAGAATTACAAAAATAAATAAATTGAATTATTAAAATGAACCTATGGTGGGCTCACAAAAGCCTAACAATATTGTCCAATCTTCTCCTCCGATTGGAGAGATATTAGATGGTTCTTTTTTTTTTTTTTACATGCATATTCATGATTAGTTCTTTATTAAAAATAATAAAAATAAAATGATATCTTGCAATGTACCTAATAATATTTAACACTAAAAAATTTTGATAATATATACCTTTCTTTTTTTTAACCCATGTTTAAGAAAAATTATTAGGTGCTCTTAGGACATCACATGACAATGCTCTTGCTAATTATAAAATGTCATATACTCTGTCATTCTTTCATCACCCTCACACAAAATTGTAGATTACATTCTCTTCACCAATCACAATACTCTTAAAACACTACCTATGTCCTAAAACTACCAAATAATCTCTCCATGTTCAAACACCCCTCCTCTCTCTATTTTTAAACTTCCAAGTTGCAACTACTCCACATGCATGTCACAAAAGTAAATCACATCCAGAAAGGTACTGTTTAATAAGATTATTTTGGGGTCAGCATGGAGATTATATATGCTATTCTTTGACTAATCCAAACTATGGGTTTGGTTTGAAAACCAATACCTGTATAGGGACTACCTCAGCCATGACCAAGCCCTCTTGTTAGTTTCATTTAATCAATAAATATTATACAAAGAGAGAGACACAAACAAATATGTATCACAATTTAGTTTGTATATATGTACAAAGAGAAAGAAAGGGGAATGCATTAAAATTATTCTCTCTCTTTTTTTAAAAAAAAAATTTTTTTGGCATATAATGTCATGTAGCATGTCGCTACTATTACTATAGAAAAAGAATTAATTTTGGTTGTTATTATGGTTAGGATTAAAAAAGTGTTAGTTTTCTTCTTTTGCATGGAAGGGATCAATCTCTGACCTCTGTGGGAGGATGCTTGAACTAATTATTTCTAGGGTTTTGTTTCATATTTTTGAATCTCTGATCTGGTCAACATACTTAGGGGAATTCCTATGAGATGTTTGTTTGAGAAGTGAGATGCAATCAATGATTCAACTAATTCATTAACCATTCCTGTATACCCTTTTAGTTTCACAAATCTCACTGTGACCATAATAAATTCCTTCTCAGTATACTAAAATAGAAGTCTATTTCAAACAGCCAGAACAGCATCACATTTGATACTAAACTAAATTGAAAAGTCATGAGTCAATCTTTACCTTTTAATTTTTTTTTTTTTTTTTAAGTTGTTTAATTCTTGGGGCTCTTTCTACGTTTTTGTAAAAATAATATTTTTAAGAACTTTTAAATTGCTAAGAATTAATTCTTAAACCCAATTTCTTATGTTTAAAAGGATTGTCCCCTTCTAATAGTTTAATTTTTTAATTTGATAATAAAAATCCTCTCTTGTTTTGGGGTATTCTCACCTTCATTGTTTAATTACTTAGGCCTTGTTTGGGAACAGATTTTTTTAGTAACTTTTTGATTTTTTAGTTAAAATATGATATAAAAAAAAACTAGTATGTTTGGGGTGACTTTTTGACTTTTTACAAAAATATGTGCAAAAAGTAAAGAGAAAAGGAAATCTTCGACTTTTTGGTAAAGGTTGTTGGCTTTTTGATTTTTTTAGTGACTTTTTGACTTTTTTGCTAAAAAAGTCACTTGTCAAACGAGGCCTTAGACATGCACTCAAATTTTTGTTGAAGTTGCAATTTTCCTTGTGCAATCTCAACCACTCGGCCTCGTTTGGGAACTCTTCATTTTAGCCAAAAAGTCAAAAGTTAGTAAATTAACTAAAAAGCCAATACCCCATACCAAAAAGTCAAAAATTCTCTTTTCTCTCTACTTTTTGCACATCTTTTCGTAAAAAGTCAAAAAATCTTCCCAAACATATTAGTTTATTTAGCTCATATTTTAGTCTAATAGCCAAAAAATTACTAAATTAGCATGTTCCCAAACGAGACCTATCTCTCTCTATTTTATAAAATCCAAAAAATTTAATCAATATTTAAAATTAAAAATTGTAGCGTAGATGTAATAATTAGATGAAAGATTCTTCTAAGCTAGTTAATGGAATTTTTAGAAGGTTGGGACTACATTGATATAATTTGATTTTGAAATTTGAAAGTTTTCGTATTATTTATTTTATTTTAAAATTTTAAATCAATTGAACTCTGAAAAAAACTTGTGTATTGATTAAGGGGTTGTTTGGGATGACCTAAATAAGTGCGCTTTTTGTCTTTTTACGAAAAGATGTGCAGAAAAATAGAGAGGTGATGTGATAGAAAAAAGATAAAAAGATGGATTATTTTTTGATTGCCAAACTTGGCCTAAGTCTCTGCTTTATTGCTAATGAAAGTCGAGTCTAGTTATGTCATTTACATCTACATTTACATTTACATTTGCAGTTGTATTGCTTCACTAAGCCTCCGTTTGGGAAGTGGGTTGACTTTTTGACTTTTTGGCTTTTTTGGCTATTTTAGCCTGGGCTAAAAAGTTTGATTTGGGAAAGGCTTTTTGACTTTTTTGACTTTTTTGACTTTTTTTGTGAGAGAAGAATGTAATGATTATGAGTTGGATGTGATATTTTATTTTTTGTGGCTAAAATAGCCTATTTTGTCTTTTGTGACTAAAATAGTCAAAAAAGCCCCGTTTAGCTCTTGCCAAACGGAGCCTAAAAGATGCAAAGCATAAGAGTGTTAAAAATATGGGCAAATTACATATATTCCCCTTGAGGTTTAGCAAAATTACAGATACCTCTCTGAGGTTTGAGAAATTACAGATATCCCCCTGAAGGTACCATTTGCATAACAAATTAGGAGGCAAATTGTTATGAAAATATAAATCTCAAGGGACAATTTGTTATAAAAATATAAACCTCAGGGGGTATCTGTAATTTTCGAAACCTCAGGGGTATCTGTAATTTAGCTAAAACTTGAGGAAGGTATATGTAATTTGCCCTAAAAATAATGATATGATAACCACATTTTGTTTATTTTATTTCTTATGTCAACACTGTATTAATAATAAATATAAGCTATAGACCCCTTAAATCAATACAATATAAATATATGAAATGATAAATGAAATATAATAAAAAAAATATATTATTATATTATTGTGAAAAGAATGACAGTTGTAAAGGATATGTTATTTTTGGTTATTTTGGAAAGTTGATTAAAAATTGACTTTTTGATTTTTTTTTTTTTGAAAAAACGTGTAAAAAAATAAAGAGGTGATGTAATCCAAAATAAGTTAAAAGCCCAAAATTGCCATCTTCCCAAAAGACCATTTTGTAAGACATTGTTT